ACCTTTTTTTTTTATACTACAGGCATATCCGGATACCAGCCAACTTCCACTGACCCATTCCTTTGAAACAAAGAAAAACAGTTAAGTAAAATTGACTCTAATTGGCTCCGTATACCCTGTTCTGCACCCTTGTTCCCCATAGCCAACTCCTACTGTGTGGGACATCCACTCTAAATCAATTAAACTCAGAAACTTCTCAAGGTGGAAGCAAAGGTTACTTTTTATTAAAATCTCAAGAGAAGGGGCGTCTGCTTCCCCAGTACACTTCCAGGAGGAGAGAGGCAAGGCACAGAAAGCGAAATGAGATTATATACCCTAATGCAAACAAACCTCCACCCACCACTATCCCTTATTCCCAAGGGCTGGGGATGTGGGCTTACATTCTTAGGCTCGAAAATTCAAAGACAAAGAAGAAGGAAACAGGGTATAGCCAATCCAAACATACATGTCCTTATTTAGTAAACCTAATGCTGACGTAACAGTAGTGTGGTGATCAGGAGGGAGTTTAGGGCCAAATTCCCATGAGTTAGGTAATTCCTAGGAAACCGAAATTTACTGCAATTTCTCCTCCCTAACCCTCTTCCCCCTTATGCCAGAGACAAGAAAAGGCAGCAGGGCTATTCTTTCTGCTAAGCCTTTAAAAAAAAAAACAGGGTCTGAGTGGGGAAGGGTTTTGAAAGCAACAATCAAGAAATACTAACAAGAACTATTGATCCCTTGAGGAGGCTTCACTTTTGAGAGATCATCTCTTATAATTCCCCCTCTCATTTCTTACAACTTGAAGCCTCCTCACACCCCACTAAATCTTAATAACCATCAGGGTGGTCTCAGACTGGACAGCTGTCTGGCAGGGAACATTGCCAATGAAGTCCTCTGGTCCTTGGTATTTGTTCCAGCCATCTCCAGCACAGCATCTCAGCATCTTCTTCTTCTTGTCTTCTTGTAGGAACCAACTTTCTGTCCATTCTCCTACAAAAGTGACCTTAGCACAATTTTAAATTACTATTTCTAGTCCTTATAACCCTGATCATTTTTACAAACTCAAAACTGGAACCATGACCAATTGTCATGTTTAAGAAATTCACATCAGAACCCAGTGTCTTATACTTTACATTAATCCATTATTAATTTCCTCACCAGGAGGATGAGATTTCACTAAGGGATTAATAACAGGCTCCAGTACATACATAAATATATTAAATAATCAATTTTAACACTGTACATATAAGATCTTAAACTTTTAGTCATGCCATGTTTCTTTGATGGCATTTACAAAATAAACCACAAGCCATTCTTCTTTTAACATTATTAATTGTAACAAAACTTTAGACAAGTATGATACTAACCAAATAACAAAATAACATTCTCACAAGCCCCTGATTGTCTCCATACCATTACCAAGAATTAAAGGACCCTAACTCATACCGGAACACACATAGGAACACTAGTCCCAGTTCTATAGTAACCTAAGATGTTCCATAATCAATTATTTTAGTAAATTTGTTACTGTACTTACAAAACCTTCTGATTGTAGAAACTTACTATAGAAGGAAAAAGAGCAGGGACATGTGACATACCAAATATGACAGGATAAAACATCCTTAGCTTTGTTTAAATTCAGATAGAGTCACAGTTCTCCAATCATGCAGTATCTGTTCCTCCTCATAGCCAGACTCAGGAACAGTCAGGTGGGAAACATTCCTTTCCAAAGGAACACAATGGAGAAACTGAGCCAGGAGGATCCCATCCTAGATTGAAGCTAAGATTGTCCCCTCAGCCTTTTCCCAAATGAATCACATTCCCTTTGTATAGACCTCCACCTGTTCTTGTGGCATTTCTCTCAGATATTGATTTAATGCAGACAACTATACCCAAATTCAAACTCAAAACAAAATTAGTTATAGTCCCAAGAGCCTTTTACCTCAAACAGCAAGTTTCACTAATCACAGCTTAAAGCCAGATACAGTTAATTTTACTCTCATGGAGTTGCAATAAGCAATACAAATTTACCAGGACTCACATACATAAGACATTTCACTTTACATCTTTCCTTCTCAAATTTAAACTTGTTTTGGTGTAAAAGCCAATCATTAGAAGTCATTTCTATATACTTGCAAATTCTCAGAAGGCCAAGTTTCTTGTTTAGGAACTACATGATCCAAACAAGCTCTTTGGCCAAGTTTACAAAACTAAGGAGGATCAACAGGGATCCCAGAGAAGGGGCTGTCCCATCCACCTCCTCTAACTTTAGAATTTCTACAGGCTGTGCTTTTTCTTTTCTTTCTCTTTTTTTTTTTTAACTAGCCCCTCAGGGGCAGTCCTCAGACTGCTCTTTTTCAACACACACAGAGTAATCAATTACCAGTTTTAAGTTTTAACATTAAAACAATAACCAACAATCTTACAATTGTCATAAGTGATAACTAAATTGTTTTAGCTGTAACATAAACAATAAACTTCAAATGGCAACAACTGTGTTTCCAGATCATGTAAAATTATTGATAGAAGGATGGGCTGATTTACCAAGTACAGATGCAAACTGGATTCTTTACCTTGACTCATCCTCTTTTACTCTCTCCCCATGGCTGTGTGCTGGAAGATACCAGCTGTAGCTGCTGCCCCTCCCCCTCCTTCCTATAGCCAGGCAGGGAAAGGTGAATTTGCAGGCAAGGGAGATGGGGGGTAAAACACTCTCTTCCTAATCTGATCTGGGATGAAAGGGATTAAGAGAAAAAGAAAACCCAGGGCTGTTTGGAATCCCCACACTGAGAAACCCTCCTGATTCAGAGGGAGGGAGTGGGGGAAGGGAGTGACAAGATTGTAAGGAGGTGTTTTAAAAACTCCTTAATGATCAATCTCAAAACTTCCAGCATCTGCTAAAATGTTTTAGCTGTCTTAACTTTTTCACTTCTAACACACACATACCTCTTAAAAACTTAGAGTGGGGTATTGAACCTTTCAGACCTACATTTGAGAAACCAGTGCCCTTTCTTGTGGTATTCCAGGACACAACATACCTAGGCTTGCAAAAGGAAATTTAGTAGGCCCTCTAAAAGAATATCAAAGATTTTATCAAAACCCCCCTTTTTTTTTTTATAAAAGTGTCTCCCTTTCTCAAAAACAGCTTACGATTCCCTAATTACCATAAAATTCTGAGTTACCTAAATTCTCTAGTTAAAAGGTATCTGTATGAGAATTATGAGATTTCACAAAACCTCTCCTTCCTTTTTTTTTGCATAATTACCAAGTTTCTTCTCATACACAAAATACTTTTACTAGTGCTTGACTTAAACAATAACTCCAAATAGCTTACTTAACAATTTTGAATTCCATAAGTGAAAACCAGATAATCCCAGCTAAAACTTCCCTTTAAACATAGACAAAACTTGGAAGTTCTCATTTCTTAAATTACAATACTTAAAAAAATTTACAAAACAGGACGACCATCTATAGAATGCCGCCCAACAGCCCCGATCATTCCTTTTTCTCTTTTCTCTGAAGACACAATTAATTTAACAACATTCTAGATTATAAAAGAAATTGCCCTTCCAGCAACGTAACTAATATAATTGCTTACCACATTACATCACATAAGAAAGTTCAGAAATATGTAAGCAGTATATTAAAAACTTAAAACAGATCCAATAAAAACTCTTTCTTTCTGGACCCCTTCACCAGGTCCAACAGTCTCCTGGGACCACACCAAGAGGAGAAAAATGTGTTTAATTATTTGTTCCCTGGTCCAACATTGGTCTCTGCAGTATGTCAACATTCAACTTCCCTTTCATATTTTCATTTATATTACTACAGTTATTGCATATGTAGTTCACTTGGTTCTGCTGATTGTGCTCTGCATCATTCCTTTCCAGTATTGCCATGGTTTTTCTGATTTCTTTATACCTATTTTTTTCTACCCATTACTCTTCTATTATATTCATAGATCACAGTTTTTTCATATGTTTCCCAAGTGTTCCTGTTATTTTTGCTATCCCCAAAAGTGATGTTGTATATATGTTGGTATATATGGGACCTTTCCATATTTGAGATCCTTTGAGTATATGCCCAAAACTGGGATCCTGGGATCAAAGAGTGTGACTAAGTTTGTACATTTTCTCAGTGTTCCTCATAGTTTTCTAGAATAGTTGGATAAATTATTGCTCTATCAAGAGTGAATTACTGTGTCTTTCTTCCTACAGCCCTTTCGATGTTGATTTTCTGTTGTCTTTATTGACACATAGAGCATGAGGTAAAACTTCAGAGTTGTTTTTAGTTTCCATTTCTCTATTAGTGATTTATAGCTTTTTTTTGTTTGTTTTTTGTTTTTTTAGGCAGTTGGGGTTAAGTGATTTGCCCAGGGTCACACAGCTAGTAAGTGTCAAGTGTTTGGTCTGAAGCCGAATTTGAACTCAGGTCCTCCTGACTTCAGGGCCGCTTCTCTATCCACTGTGCCACCTAGCTGCCCCAGATTTTTGGCTTTTTAAAGAAATATATAGGGGGAAGCTAGGTTCAAATCCAGTCTCAGACCAGATACTTGACACTTACTAGCTGTATGACCCTGGGCAAGTCACTTAACCCCGATTGCCTTGCAAATATATGTGTGTGTGTGTATACATATATATGTATATATGTATGTATATTATATATATGTACACACACACACATATATATGTGATTATTGATGGATTGCATTTCTTTTGAAAACTGTTCATATCCTTTGACTACTTCTTTTCTGGAGTCTTAGCCATGCTCTCATCATATCTTAGCTGTAAAACTGTTGGAGAGTAGCCAGTATGTCTTAGATGCTTCTTTCTTTTATTCACTCTTGTCCTTGTCCTCCACCATAATACTGGGTTCAGTAAACAAGTATGTATTAAATACTGTATTGTGAATCTCCAGAACAGCTCTATGTTTCTGTTAACCTTTCTTTCCTATCTCTTTTCTTCATAAGCATGATTTCTGTTTCCTAAAACTGCCATGATCTCCCAGCCTGGGCAAGGATAGGAATTATGGGTCCAGGATCTTCATACAACTCTGGACAAAAAGGACCCAAAGGAAGCCTATCACAGTGAGTGATACGGACTTTGTTAGTGCTGATGCCAACTATTCTTTCTTCTGTATCTTTACTTTTAAAATGTTGGCTTGATAAACTATTGATAGTCTAAATACATTTTGGAGCACTAGACCAATTGTCTGTACTGAACTTTTAAAAGAACTTGTTGAAAATTTGTCAAGGACACTGATCTTATTTGTGTGTGTGTGTGTGTGTGTGTGTGTGTGTGTGTGTGTGTGTGTGTGTGTGTCCCTGAAGCCAGTAGAACTAGACTAAATTAAATCATCCTGTTCTCCTGGTCAGTATAATGGGAGAGATGGGTTCTTGCCCTCTCCACCTATAACTGCTCCCTTAGTTTTCTACCTTTCAGGTTATCCCACTCTGCCTCCCTTCTACTCATTATCCCTCTGACCCATTTCCTTTTCTTATTCCTCACCCAAATAGCCATGTGTTACTTTTCTCTCCTTACCTCTCCCTGATTTTTCTTCTGGATGCTTTAATTATCCATCCTCAATTTTCCCTTTTTCTAACTAACTGGATTAATCTTGGCTTCCTCTGCAAAGCCAATTTTGATATATATGAGCTCTGCATTTCTAGAGCACTTGGAAGAAATGACATTTATGTTTTCTATTTCTTGGTTAGATGGCAATGCCAGGACCAAGAATGCGGACTTGAACAAGGAGACTTCAGAGGGGGAAATTTTCAAAGAAGACTCACACCCATGGACACTAGGATGTATCCAAAAGGATGTACCTCTGGAGCCCGTGTTGGGAGAAGCCACTGAATGGAAAGATAGGCTAGAGAGGTGATAGGAGCACATGCAGGAAAGAGACAGGAGAGAAATTTCTTGGAAGTGATTGTTAAGGACAAGATAAGTCCTAGAGAAGAGAGAGGCCCAAAGGAAGGGTTCAGTCTTACTTCCAAACTCCTCATACATCAGAGACATCCTAAAGGACAGAGATCACATAAATGTGGTGAATGTGAAAAATACTTCAGTTGGAATTCAGACCTTATTCAACAACAGAGAATCCACACTGGTGAAAAAACCCATGAGTGTATTGAGTGTGGAGAAGCCTTTAGTCGGAGCAAAAATCTTATTCAACATCTGAGAATCCACACTGAGGAGAAACCTTATCAATGTAATGTGTGTGTGGAAAAGCCTTTAATCAAAACTAAAGCCTTATTCAGCATCAGAGAATTCATACTGGGGAGAAACCCTATGAATGTAATGAATGTGGAAAATCATTCAGTAATAGTTCACATGTTATTGTATATCAGAGAATCCACACGGGGGAGAAACCTTATCAATGTAGTGATTGTGGAAAAGCCTTCAATCAGAGTTCAGGCCTTAGTCAGCATCGGAGAATCCATACTGGAGAGAAACCTTATATGGGTAATGATTGCAGGAAAGCCTTTAGTCATAATTCACACCTTATTGTACACCAGAGAATGCACACTGGAGAGAAGCCCTGTGAGTATAATGAGTGTGGCAAAGGCTTCAATCACAGCTTAAGCCTTATTGCCCATCATAGAATCCATACTGGAGAAAAACCTTATAAATGTAATTTTTGTGGTGTGTCTTTTAGTCAGAGTTCATCTCTTATAGTACATCAAAGAATCCACACAGGGGAGAAATCTTATAAATGTAATGAGTGTGGGAAAGCCTTTAGTCATAGCTCACTGCTCATTGTTCATCAGAGAATCCATACTGGGAATAAACCTTATGAATGTAAAGACTGTGGGAAAGACTTCAGTCAGAGCCAAAGCCTTATTCAACATCAGCCACTCCACACTGGAGAGAAGCCCTATAAATGTCATGAGTGTGGGAAAGCCTTCTGCTGTAACTCACACCTTACTGTACATTGGAGAACCCACACTGGAGAGAAACCCTATGAATGCCATCAATGTGGCAAAGCTTTCAGTCAGAGCTCATACCTCATTGTACATCAGAGAATCCATATAGGTGAGAAATCCTTTGAGTCATTTCACTTAATTCATTAGCACAACGGACTAATGAAGTCAAGAAATGGGATTGCTCAATGTAATGGAATACTATTGTGCTATAAGAAATGATGAACAGGCTGACTTCAGAAAAACCTGGAAAGACTTATATGGTCTGATGCTGAGTGAAGTGAGCAGAACCAAGAGGACTTTGTACACAATAACAGCCACATTATGCAATGACTAAGATTGTTAAACTGAACCCTTCTCAGCATTATGAGGATCTAAGACATCTCCAGAGGCCTCGGGATGGAAAATGTTGTCCACATCCAAAGAAAGAACTATGGTAGTCGAATCGCTATCACTTATTTTTACCTTCTGTTGAGTTTTGTTTCATCTTTCTGATGGTTCCTCCTATTGGTTTTAATTTTTACTTACAACTTCACTAATGTGAAAATATGTTTAATGGGGTATGTAAATGTAAAGTCTATATCAGATTATGCGCCATCTTGGGGGGGGGAGGAAGGGAGAGAAACATTTTAAACTCAAAAGCATATGGAAGTGATTGTTTAATTTAAAAAATTAATTTAATTTAAATTAATTTAATTAATTTAAAAATTAATTAAAAAAAAAGAAATGGGATTGCTCCCTGTTAATGTTTACATTGGGGAAAATCTCCCACGGCCATACAGAGAATAGTGACTTTGGCAGATCTCACAAATGTGTGCCTCTGATATCAAAGGCTAGAGATTCAACATAAACCACCCTCACTACTGGAAACCCAAAAACATTCATCTTCCCCACCCTTACAAGTTCCTTTGGAAATGTTCATGAGGGTTTTTCATGTATGTGTTGTATATCCCCAAGTACATTGTACTCTCTCGGAGGATAGGGACAATATTTTTCTGCTTTTGACACATTCTTTTCCTCTGACGTGTCTAGCCAGTCAGGCAGCATTATCTGTCCTTCGTTGAAAACTATATGTGTACAGATTGTCCCAAAAAGTCTTAGCGCAGTTATGAGCTTTAATAGCTTTTGGAGCACTGTATTTCCTTCTATCTGCTTCCCACTCTGTTGTGTTCTTCTGCCTCTCTCCATGCTCTGTCTTATGCCAAGCTGCCAGCTCACCCAGTTACCGTCTCTAGCATGGGACTGACCATCACCCAACTGTGCCTTTTCATGCACCACTTCCTTTGAATTATTTCACTCCTTCTCACACTCATGCCAATCTAGATCTGTGGCATCTTTCAGGATCTAACTGAAAATGCATTTCTTCCCCAAGGTCTTCCCCTTCAACCATTCTTCCTTTGTCAAGTTGGACACTCGGACTCGGACTTTATCCAATTTCCTCGGCATTTATATATTTAATTGGCACTCTATTTTTTGGTCCATATTTTAAACTGTTACTTTGCAATTCTTATGTTTTATTTATGTATTTTGCTTCCCCAGTAGATTATAAGTTCCGTGGTTAGGAAATTTCTCTTTCCAAGGACATCTAGACAATTATTCTGCACAGGGGACCATGCTAAATGCTTTCTGATTATGACTACACCAGCTTTACAAGGAGATGAATGTATCACTCCTCACAATCTGAATAGCAGGGACAGTCTCTTCTCATCAGAGTGGAAGCTCCCTGAGGACCAGGAGGGTGTTTATAGTATCATAGTTGTGAGCTACAAGGGACCTTAGAGGCTATCTATTCTGGCCCCTTCATTTTACAGATAAGGAACCAGGCCAGGGAGGTTGAGTGACTTACCTTAGGTCACACAGGGTGGTAATAGTTAGAGGTGGAATTTGAACCCAGTTCTGACTCCAGAGCCAGTTTTCTTTCCAGCACACCATACTGTATGTTTTCCAACAGTACCCACCATAAGTATTACCTACTGAAGATAGCAGGAGATTTTTTTTGAAGTGGTGTATATTTTATTTGAAATTTTAATTTTTTCCCCAGTTACATGTTAAAACAATTTTTAGCATTTTTGAGAAGTTTTGAGTTCCAGATTCTACCTCTCCCTCCCTCCTCCCTGAGATGGCAAACAATCTGATATAGCTTGTACGTGTGCAATCATATAAAATATTTCCATATTAGTCATTTTGTACAAGAAGACGAACAAAAAAATGAAAAATAGTATGCTTCAGTCTGTATTAAGACATCAGTTCTTTCTGTAAAGGCAGATGGCATTTTTTCTCATGAGTCCTTTGGGATTGTCTTGGATCATTGTATTGCTGATAATAGGTAAATCATTCATAGTTCTCCATCTTACAATATTGCTGTTACTGTGTACAACGTTCAACAACAGGAGATTATTAGCAGAACTCTGAGTGGCAGAAAACTGGAGTCCAAGGTTCAAATCCTAGCTTTGTTACTTTGGGCTTAACTGGTATTAAGTGTTACTTTCCTTTTCTGTAAAGTGGGGATAAATGATCTGATGTAGTGTGTGTGTAGGTGTTCCTTGGAAGAGAAAAGGATAAGCTTTTGGAAGTCGAATGTCCTAGGTTTAGACAGGTAGATCATGATTTTACTGCTTGATACATTCCTGGAAATGAACAGAAGCTACATCATCATGAAACCACCTGGTTATGTTTTGCTGACATTTGCTTATTTAGGGGTATTTGGTATCATCAAAGAAATAGTCAAATAAGAGGGTAAAGTGGCAGAGGTGAACTATGGCTATTTGTTAAATAGGATCAAGTGAGTAGAGTGTTGAAAATAAGGGACTGCTTGTGTAATTGGCTAATAGAATTTAGAGAAGGAAGAGGAATGAACCTTTGAGACTAGTCTGACATCCTTGTTTTACGGATAGAGAAACTAAGCCCAAGAGAGATTGCCTGACAGGGCTTCCCCTTTCCCATATTGGAACCACTATCATCATGCTTCTGTCTGCCACAGAGCAGAGGTGAGAGCCATTTTCATTTCTCATCCTGTGACAGAAAGGCTATGTGACTTTGAATAAATCAGAACTTCTCTAGGTTCCCTTTTCCTAAAATATGACATTAGGGGATTGGACTAGATAAACTTCAGGCTCCTCTAGTTTTAGATCCTAGGATTCCATGAGGCTCACTTGACAAGGTAGAAGATGCTTGGAGTCAGGTTGTTCAGAAAGAATTCAGGGCGCAGAGGTTCTCCTAGGCAAGAGAGATTTATTGATGCATTTCTCCAGTAGGGATTTAGAGCAATTTTTCATATGACTACAGATAGCTTTAATTTCTTCCTCTGAAAACTGCCTATTTATGTTTCTTATTTAGCCACAATTTCACCTGCCCCTTGGCCCAACATAGTTCTGGCCAGGACTTCCCCTTTTCACCTAAGTAATCCTTCTATCACTTACCATCGGTCCCTTAATGTCCCAAATGCATGGTGGTGATCTTTCTGCCCTTGGTCTAGTCTTTAGGAGCACTAGCAGCCTGAGATAAAACAGGCGCTTACTTAATTACCCAAGTTTTGGGCACTCAGCTAGGGCTGAGGGGTATGCTCTTACGTGGGCAGTTAACCATAGGGAAGGGTGTCAGGAAAGGGGAAGCAGGTGTGTAAGGGGAGGCAGGAAAGGAAAAACAGGTGTGTTGGGTACTTTACAAAACAGTTCACGGATGTGGTCACAAAGCAGGCAACTTAACTTGCAACATTCAAGGTTATGGGCAGAAACCATAGGGGTTAGTCACATATACAGAAAATAAGTTTTTCTTGTCAACAGATAGAGCCCCCTGCTACTGGGCAGATTTAGATTTAGGCAAGGCGCTTCTTGTTACTAGGCTTCTAGAAGTCAGCCACATCACACTGAAGAATGGAAGAAATTATGAGGTAATTCTATGATGTGGATTCCAAAGATGGCACTGTAGTGAAACCATCCCTCTTCTCTCTACCCTGCGTTGAGGGGAAGAGTGGATACGTTTTATCTTATCTCCTTCCTGGAGCCATAGCTTGTGTGTGTGAAGCAGACCTTGGAGAGCTTGTGATTCAGGAGTGGTCTCCTGATTTCCAGGTAGTAAGGAATGACTTTAGAATTTTATGTTTTAGAGCTGAAGAGACCTTAAATTAGTTGAAAACTTAATTTTACAGATGAGGAAATTAAGGCCCAAAGAGGTAGTGGTGATGACCAAGGAAGCACAGGAGGTAGGATGTTTGCATTTTAAACCTAATTTTTGTGGATTCCAAAGCCAATGTTCTTTTTATATTATCCTGTATTACTTTTGATTCCTTTTCTAGCCCTTAGGCAGACTCAATGTGAACTAATAACAAAAACCCAGTTTATATTGAACTTAATAATAGCTCCCGATTTTTTATTTTTATTTTTTATTTAAGGATTTATGGAGAACTTTACAACCAAAAGTTAGATTTCCAGACTCACTGATGCTAAATTAGGTCTGGAAATTAAATCCCTTCCTTCTGACTCCAAAATCAGACCTATTTTCTGCAGAAAGGAGTTCCTATCAATTCCCAAAAACAGTAATCCCTATTTTCAAGGGTCTTCCACAATGGGGTAGCAGAGCTGGGTACCTTTGTGAGATGCCTCTATTATAATCCAGAATCCTTTGCTATGTAGTGTTTTTGCATTCCAGAGATTAAAGATCCTTTCTGGGATTCTAGATGTAGAGTTGGAAGTGGCCTGAGAGGTTATCTGGTCCAACAGTCTCATTTTGCATATGAGAAAATTGAGTTCCAGGCAGGTGGAGAAATTTGCCCAAAGCCAGGCAGGGGGCAAAAGACAGGACTTAAACTCACCTTCTCTAACACTAGATTCCATTCTCTTCTCACTGCAGTTGTTAATAGGATTTATAATTGGGAAGTATCTTCAGGATCATCTTTGACAACCCCTTCATTTTAGCATTTGGAAAACTCTCCAGAGTCACATAGCTGGCTTAAGGTAATGAGTAGTCAGTAGCAAAGTAAAGTTTCTGATTCTTTTTTTTTTTTTGGCCTGGGCAATGGGGTTAAGTGACTTGTCCAGGGTCACACAGCTAGTGAGTGTCAAGTGTCCAAGGCTGGATTTGAATTCAGGTCTTCCTGAATCCAGGGCCAGTACTCTGTCCACTGTGCCATCTAGCTGCCCCAAAGTTTCTGATTCTTGATCTCATGCACCTCATTACACTAGACTGACCTCTCTAACAGACTGATTTT